CACTAATTTAACCGCACATAAAAGAAAAAAAAAAGTTACATACAAGTACAGTGTGTTCCATCGTGCTCCGAACAGTGTCATTGGTATCGACAGCCCCATCCAACTGGTGATAGTCATCAGCCACGTGCGTGTTAGCGTCAGGATCGATAAACCCCCTTCCGAAAGCTCCTGACACAATCTCAGCCCGCTCCCTGCTCTTTAGTAACTCATTGCTCCATAACACAAATGTTGGAAAAGATCTTGTAACGGATCTCATCGACAAGACAACCTTGTCCACATAAAACAGCTGCAACAAACAACCGACAATTAGGAAACAACAAAAACTATAATATGAACTAAACGACACAAGTAAATAGCAGCGACACATATAAAAAACAACAAAAAGAAAAAAAAAATAATCAAATTGAAGTGCACGGAACAACTGACCGTCAAGAACAATAATGGCCCTGTATATTTCTTCTGTTGGCCACCGATAGCGTCCCATGTTCTCTTTGTGTCCACGAGACAACGGATCATATAGGAACACCAGTTCATATTGCGAACATTTGTTAGATCGTCGAGCATGTGGAGTAGACGGAAGTTCGCCATTCCGTTTGAAGAGCTCTCAAAGAGACAGGTAACCATAAGGACGATGAAATGACGCTTGAACCAGTCGTCACCGTCTGTACACTCACGAATCTTATCAAACACCTTTGACGCTGTAATGTTCGATGGAATTCTAACACTGAATAATGCAACCCACTGGTCGATCAGATTTGATGAAACTCTCTTCTTCCTGTTGCTAATCTCAATATCGCCACGAGGCAAGCCTAATGCTGCATGAACGTCCTCTTCCCTTACATGCACCTTTTCGCCGTCGTGTAAACGCAACTTCCGATCCATGTGATTAAAGTTGTTGACTAGCCAAAAGCCCATTTTCAATGGTATCGCGGTTATAGTCAGATCCAATAAACGCCCGAGACCCATCTCACGAACCGCTTGCTTCTGGACGTCTGTCAGACCAGATATAGCCTTAACAAAAATAGTCGAAGATGACCTCGTAACTAGATTCGGGAACAGATTGTCATCATCGCCATCCGAATCAGCACCAATAACAAGAGCATTGTCGGTATCATCAATTTTTTGCTTGCCTTTATCTGAAAAAAAAAAAATATATATATATATATAGCAGGTCTACATAAGAACAACACACAACAAATGCACACACGAAACTATAAACACATACACACAAACACATATATATATATATATATAAGAATCTAAATAGATATTCAGTTTCAAATACCATGTTGGGGGTTTTTATTGGCAGCCACACGCGGACGAGTGTTCTCATCAACGAAATCACTATCAGGCTGGCTTACTTTACATGCAGTGGACTTTGAACGTTTCGCATTGCCAACCTCTTGATTTGATGCAACAACAGCCCTCTTACGCGGCACATCTGAATGTACACAAAGAAATAATAAGTTCAGATTAAACGCAGATCCATCAATCAGTACAGTAACTACATATTCATCAAAATCGAACAACATTAATGTCAAACAAAGCATCCACATATTGAAAAAAAAA